GAAACAGATGCAAGGCAAGTGGAATGACTTGAGGAGGAATCAGTCATTCTGAATTTCTCACAAGTCCACAGTAGCAGGAGGAAAATCACTCAAAACGATCTCTTTTCTTCCACACTGAGATGAGCGCTCTGAATTGTGGACGCTGTAAAGGTCCTTTGAGAGCACAGACAGTAACAGTGAGTTTGAATGGAGAGTGTCTGCTTTCCCATCTCTTCAAAGGCACAGTTCCCATTGGTAAGGTGTACACAAAGGGCGACTATCTCGATGTGGGGATGTGTGATGACTGGTGATGACTGGTGAAAGCAAACTGCTTTCTCTAAGAAGGATTTCGACGGATTGCCTTCTGCGTCTCCTTCGGCGTCCAACGCAAATGCCCTATTGTGAGCCTGTATATTTGAAATCTGTTCTCCCTGTTGGTTAGTATCAAGTCAAGGATAGTTGTTCCTCTTGTTCCTTCCCCCACTTTCAGTTGGAGGAGGTTATCAGCAGCATATATTGGGAATCTCTTGGTGGGGCTGCGTTTGGCAGAATTGGTCTCCCAACCAGTATCGGGAAAATTGAAGTCCTACATAAAGACAACATGATGTCTCTTTGAAACATTGGTGATTGGCTTTTCAAAAGTTTCATACTTTTCTTCTCCTTGACTGGGTTGTCAGTAATAGATGCTAATCACAGTGTTTCTTTTATTCCTTGCTCCATTTATATTAATCCAGATCCTCTCTGTGGGCTACTAAGCTCATCCTCCCATAGTTCTGTGTAGAGATATGTCTCTTTACCATATAGTGTGACTCCACCTCCCTTTCTGTTCCTTCCATTCTTCTAAAACAGCTTATATCCTTCAGTTGTTGAATTCCAGTCATGGGAGTTGTCCCAGCAAGTTTCAGTTCTACCTATCAGGTCATATTCACACTCCTGTATTAAGAGTTCAAGTTCATGCTGTTTGTTTCCCGTACTCTAGGCATTAGTATATAGACATTGAAGACTATGTGCTTTAAGCTCTAGCTTTCTTCCTACATTTTTTGGAAGACTAATTGGAAGATTGTTAGAGCTGTTCTGTCGCAGTGCATACGCCTCTGTCTGTTGTTAGGCCCAGGTGTACTTCTCTGTAGGATTCAGCATAAAGCCCTCCTGATAAACTTTTTCATGTTGTGGCTAAACAGGCCTTGGAGGTGCCAGCAGGTTCCGGGAGGTGTAGCTTGTGGTCTCAGAATCCAAATCTCTTACGTTGGCACCACCTTTGTAGGCAGGCATTCATTCACTTGGAGAATTTTTCTTTCCCTGTCTATTCCTCTTCCAAGAACTAGAAGAACTGAAGAGAAAATTATCTGGGCCCCAAAGTTCTTGACTTTTCTCTTTAAAATTTCAAAGTCCGATTTCTTCAAAGCTCCACTTGGCAGTGTCATTTGTTCCCACATATATAAGAAGGAATGGATATGTGTCAGTGGGTGTATGAGTCTGGGCAATATTTCATTTCATCTTTCATGGAGGCTGCATATCTGATAAGTCCGTGTGTCATCCTGACATAGGCAGCAGGGAATCTCCTACATCTGAGATTGCAGTGAGATAGAGGGGGGCACAGATGGGGATCTGGTAGAGGAGATCTGGGTTAAACTAAAGAGTTTTGATGGAGGGGGGAGCGACCTGACAGTGGGGGTATGCTGTTGCCCTCCAAGTCCACTTGAGACCCTGGATGATGCCTGGACAGACCAGATTTGGAGGATATCTTGGTGGGAGGGACATGGTAATTATGGGAGATTTCAATCTCCCAGATATTTAGTCAGGAGACTCTCTTGGCGGTGATCGCCAGGTCATGTTGCTTCCTAGATGGAATATATAGATATATAGCACCCCTCCCCCCGCCTCTCCTTCCCATCTATCTGTAGCTTCCTAGATGCTGTGTGTGTGTGTTTCACTCAGACGGTCTGGGATGCAACGGGGGGGGGGGGGGGGGAAATATCCTTGACTTGGTCTTGACCAAGAGGGAGGAGCTGATAGATGGGGTGCAGATTAGGGGAGCTCTGGATGCAAGTGATCACTCCATCCTTTGCTTTGAGATCAGGGGAATGGGGATGAGCGGCAGGTTGAGTACTAGAAGCTGGGACTACACAAGGGTGCAAGCCTTGACAATACTGCTAGTTAACAAGGCAGGAGGTGAAGGAAAGCACTGGAAGTGGGCACTGGGGCAAGTAGACAGAAGGGTATACTGAGAGAAGGAGGCTGTTGCAGAAGGATCCTTCGCAAGGCTAAGGCTGATTACAAGCTGTGACTTGCAAAGAATATCAGGAGCAACAACAAGGGCTTCTATAGACATGTAAATAGCGAGAGGACAGGCAGTGGGACCACTTAATAAGGAGGAGGGGGATCCAGTGACTGATGAGAGGGAACAGCCACAGATGCTAAATGACTATTTTGCCTCTGTGTTCTCCCTAAAGCAGATCTACATGGGTGACCAGATGAGGCCAGGGATTTAGGGGTATGGATTAGAGTTACACCCCCCCACCCCAAAGTTGAGGAGCTTCTCAGGGCACTGGACATTACAAAGGTGCCAGGCCTTGACAGGTTACACCCGAGGGTAGCGTCAGTGGTCCCATTCTTCAAAAAGGATAGTAGAAGGGACTTCAGGAATTACAGGCGGGTTAGCCTTAGGTCCATTCTAGGGAAGATGAAGGAAAGGCTAATAATAGCAAAAGCTCTAGGAACTGTAGGTAGAGAGAGGAGGTTGGCGGCCATGCAAAAACAGGTTCTGCCAGATGAAATTTGTGGAATTCTATGGCAAGGTTTCGAGGTGGCTAGACGGAGGGGATGTGGTGGATGTGGTTTACCTGGATTACAGCAAGGCCTTTGACAAAGTGCCACATGATATCCTAGTTGAGAAACTGGGGGGTTTTGGGATAGACCGATGCACTCTTTGATGGATTAGGGCATGGTTGACTGACTGAAAGCCGAGGGTAACTATTAGTGGGGAATCATTAGGATGGTGGCCAGGGACAAGTGGGGTCCCCCAAGGCTGAGTCCTGGGACTGAGCCTGATCAATCTTTTCATCAGTGACCTGGTGACCAGTCTGCTGATCAAATTCACAGATGATACTAAAATGGGGGCAGTGGCCGCAACTGAGGAGCAGGTACTCCAGCTCCAGAAAGATCTGGACAGACTATGGAAGCAGGTGGGGGACAACAGGATGGTGTTGGGTACTGATAAGTGTAAGGTTTTGTGCTTGGGGAATAGGGATGGGTGTCATAAGTACAGATGACTGGAGAGCAGCACTTGCGGAAAGGATCTTGGTGTGCTGATCAACTGCAGGCTAAACATGAGTCAGCAGTGTGACATGGTGGTCAAGAGAGCGAACGCCAGCCTTGGATGCATAGCCAGAAGCCTGGCTTCTAGATTGAGAGGGGTATTACTGACACTCTATACGACTCAGGTGCATCCACAACTGGAGTGTTGTGTTCAGTTCTGGACCTCACATTGCAGGAGATCTGTTGTCAGGTTGGAACTGGTGCAGTTTAAGGCCACAAGGATGGTGGCTGGTTTGTAGGGGAAGCTGTATGAGAAGAGACTGAGGAAACTGGTCTTTTCAAACTGGAGACTCCGAGAGGATCTGTTGGCGACATATAGGTAGGTGAGGGGTGTCATGTGGAGGTGGGTTGAGACCTGTTTTCCCCTGTGGAGGAGGGCTTGACATGTTCCAATGGAGCAAAGCTCAGGGAACCAAGGTTCAATTTGGATGCCAGCAGGTACTTCCTGGCAGTTTGAACCCCTAAGGTATGGAATGGGCTTCCATGGGAGGTGGTTGAAGCCCCATCGGTGAGGGTGTTCAAGGATAGGCTGGACATGCACATGGTAGGCATGTCATGAGTGGAACTGGTTGGGGCCAGGGGTCAGACTAGATGGCCCGGGACCCCTACTGAGTCACTGTGTTTCTAACACTCTTCTCTTCTTGCAAGCCTTATTATTGTTTCTACTATTGGGCTGACCTTTAGCCTCTTGCTCAGTGATGCACAGGATGACTTGCAGTTCTTCCATAGCAGGCTGCCCTACTTTGAGTAACAGTTACAGAGTGTCATCTAGTTCTTCGGCAGCTGTCACCCCTTTACAGAGAGCTTCCTCCTCATTTTCCCTCCCTCAGGTTCATCTTCTTCTGCATCAGCTTGCTGTTTGTAGTATCTGTTCTATTCTTAGCGATTACAGTTCCACCGCTCTGTCTAAAAACTTGCAGACGAGAGCAGGGATCACCCTTTATCAGCTTTGACTGATGTACCAACATCATCTTTACCTGGACAGAGGTGGCTTAGTCACGGTTATCCATTCTCAGGTCATCATCATCATCATCGCTGCTGCTGCTGCCACTACAACATTTGGTGTTAAACATGGGCCCAAAACTTGAAATAGTCTGGAAAAATTAGCTAGATAACAACAGTGAACCTACTTTACCATCTACAGCTTTACGATCTGCAAGTGGTTCCTGTGTCATCCCAACAGCATCGAAGCATCTCTTCCCAAATATAACTGCCCAGAGCCTAAGATCCTACATACAAAATAAAACTGAGTTCAAATTCCGGCTCAGCCTTGAACCTGTGGATGGTTCTGGGCAAGAATCTCTTTCTTTCTGCAATCTATCTAAAAGCAGAGTAATGTCAAAAAGTAGACTGGGAACATGATGGAGTACAGTTCTAGGACCTTTTCAAGGAAGGAGGGTTGACTTTTTTAAAAGTTGATGCATTTTTCTTCAGTGTACCACCTTTTCTATAACCCTTCCCTCTTAAAAAATAAAAAAAATGTAGAATTTTGAAACTTTTTAGCACCAAAATAAGGGAATGTCATTGTGCTGGTAAAGCCACAGGAACAGACCAGGAAAAGGGGTGTCACACACAGTTTTCCCATTTTGCACATGAAATGGTGAAATTATTAATGTAAAATAATCTTCAGATCTGCTCTAAATGAAAGTAAATATTGTTTACATTTCAAGAATTAGAGTCACAACAAATATTTTTTCTTTACATGTTTTAAGAATTGTTCCATTTGTTTTATTTTCATTTAAATTCCAAATGCTGATTTCTTTAACAGCAGATGTGTGGAGAAGATTTAGACTTGCTCTGGGTGCCTTAGGTGAGGTAAATATGGGGAATGCAAGTGAGTTAGCAGTCTGGCGTTTTCCTATAACCATTGGGTAGAAACATGTTTGCAAATGGATTTCTGCTCATATTTGATGACAAAGACAGGGGTAAACATATGTAAAAGCATTTGTGAAGAAAGACGTATTCATTTTTTCCATCCTGAAGAATTCCTTTGTGGTCACAGCTTTGCTGTAGTTTCACTTCATTGTCCATTAAATCTGGGGTTCACAACTGTGGTGGTAGCACTCTTGAAAAGAGGGTTGTCAGCCTGCCAAAAACAAAAATCACAAGTATCTGTAAGCTGGAAGTACTGCCTAACCTTTCAAGAGCAGGTGAGGATTCAGGAGGATATGGCTGGACCTCCCTCAGTGACAGCGGCAGAGGAGTAGGCAGAAAAAACAACTGGTGCTTAGAGAATCGGAAGAGCTTCAGAGTGACCCTCTTCTGATAATCTGACAATATTGTCCCCCTAAATTGATAGAATAAACAAATGGGATCCTCAACTAAATGTTGGTTTTGAGTATGTAGTCCCTTCAAAACTGCCTCTTATCAGTCTCCCCACCTTGAAGGTGCAGACTGGACTAGCAGCCAGCCTGATCTGTACCTTCAAGGCTCTCCGGTTCCCATGAGAGGCTTCTTAGCAGTGGCCAGCGTCCCTCCTTGGAAGACAACATGGGGATGAGTGGTGCTGCAGAGAAGGCAATCTAGAAGCTGGGGCTGGATGGGCGGGCAGGCAGTGCCTTGCTTGTTGAGGAGCGGAAGGGGAATGTGACCATAGTTATTCTGCTTTTCTTTCCCTTCCCCCTTTTCATATGAACACAAGTGTGCAGCCTCTCCCTTCCCACTCTTTTGGGCCTTTAGTGCTTTTTAACATACTTTAAAAACCCTTTAATATACTTCTGTGAAACTCATGTCTCCCCTGAGTTTGTTAACTCCCTCCTGTGCACGGATGGTGCTGTTTTCGCCACCTGTCGGCACTATACATAGAAATAGTGGAAACAATAAATCAGCAGGCTGCAACTGCAATGGGCCAGTTAACTAAAGAGGAGGCCAGTCAAATACACCACATCACCCGGATGACCTCTTTCTTGGTTAAGTTGCATTCTTCTATCATTCTCTAGGCAGTGTAGTTACATATTACACTAACACCCAGCACCAAGGATCTGTCTAGTGCAGTGCAGGGGCCAGCAGTTACCCGTGAGGAACCAGTAAGTAGGACATACCCTGATCATATTGCCTAGCAAATAGGATACATGGACATACTGCCTCTGCAATAATTGAGAGCCATATCCTGCACAAATATATCTCATTGCCTTTTAAAGCTATCCAAAGTGATAGCCATAATCCATTTTATGATAGTAAATTCCATAGTTTAACGATACATAAATAAACTATGAAATTTACATATGATGCCACAAGTGACATGAGAGCAATGAAATCACACCACTCCAATACATGGGGCTTCATTAGTTGTTAGTGCAGCTCCAGGATCTTTCTTGAAAATCCTCTCCTAGCTCAATGGTTACATGGGCAGCATTTATGTGAAAATCTAATCATCTTTGCATCTTTCTGAGCAGCAGAATTCAGAGAAAGAAAACTCTATGCATACTTCTTAAAGCTTAACAGATACATCTACTCTATATACCAAAGCTTTCAATTTCAGCCCTTCCAGACCTGTAATAGAAATAAACCATTATGTCTGGATTGTGTGTTTCAACATATGGAGGCTTTAGCATTTTCAGTATGTGACTTCATATGTCTATTTTGTCGTGGGGGGGAGGGGTTCCTCCCATTTGAAAGGTCTGCCTGAGCTAACTGAAATTACTCAAACGTTTGGTCAACTAATTTAATAACACTAAGGAAGGACAGAAGACTACATGCACAACCAGGTCTTGTTTCCACTTCACAAGCAGAGCATCTTACATCATTCCACTTAGCCTTGGATTTTTCTTTCTCAAATCTGTGGTATTCCCTGCGATCAATCAGCTCTGTCAATAACCGCCAAATCAGGAGGAGGATGAGTCCAATAAGGGCCACTCCAGCAATAGTGCCCCCTACAATGGCTGCAACATTAGGGGGCACTGGACACTCTAGGAAGGGAAAAATAAACACATAAACAAAATGTGCATTAAAGCCATGAAAAGAAGTGCATGAGACCAAACCCTCAGCATCCAAACTCAGCCACTCCCACTCCTGCCCATTTTATTTTCAATTGCATTCTGATTCCGTTTTGCCAACTCATCCTTCTCCTTTCTGCAGGCTAGAGAGCATCAACTTGGAGCTGAACTTTACTGCTTTAAGAAATGAGTTGTAGCAGCAGGCTTCAAAGATTGGCTTCTGGAAGGAGGCAGTTCAATAGAGCAGACCAGGTGAATCCAGGTCAAAGGACTGATATACCAATTGTATGGCTATTGGTGGCCATAAAAATAGAATAAGTAGTTGAGAAAGATGTTTCAGAGGAAGTGTGACCTGGATTTCAAAAGCTGTGCCCAGGGTCATAATATGCATGAACCTAAAAAAGTGTGCAATGAAATCCTTTATTTTACACCTTACAGACTCGGCGGGATACATCTGGATGATGCTGGAGATGCGGCTCTGATAGATCAGATGCTGTCCATACTCTTTGGTCTTATCCCTACTTTGAGAAGTCTAGGAGAAAATCATGGGATGAATCTTTAAAGGAGGCAGTGATCAGACCCATCCTGAAGAAGGCGTCCCTTGGACCCAGAGGTGGCTGCCAATTATAGACCAGTGGTCAACATCCTGTTCTTGGGCAAGGTGCTGGAGTGGGTGGTGGCAGGACAACTCCAGGCGCTCTTGGATGAAACTGATTATCTGGACCTATTTCAATCTGGCTTCAGATCTCGTTATGGTACTGAATCTGCCTTGGTTGTCATGTATGGTGACCTATGCAGGGAGAGGGACCAGGGAGTGTATCCCTGTTGGTTCTCTGGACCTCTAAGGGGCTTTCGATACCATCGATCATGGTATCCTTCTGGATAGGCTGGCCAGGCTAGCAGTTGGAGGCTCTGCTTGACAGTGGTTCTGCTCCTATCTGGCCAGTCGATTCCAGAAGGTGCTGCTGGGGGACTTTGGCTTTGTGCCATGGCAACTCTGCCATTTAACTCTTGCTATTTAACATCTACATGAAACTGCTGGGAGAGGCCATCAGGAGGTTTGGGCTGTGGTGTCATCAGTATGCTCATAGAGCTGGGTAACCCAGGTGAGGCAGGGGCTGTCCTGAACCAGTGCCTGGCTGACGTAATGGGCTGGATGAGGGCCAATAAACTGAGACTCAATCCAGATAAGGCGGAGGGTTTTTTGGTGGATGGATCAGGTTTTCAGGTAAGTGATTTTGGTCCTGTCCTGGACGGGGTTACACTCCCTCTAAAGGACAGGGTCCACAGTTTGGGAGTGCTCCTTGACCCAGAGCTATCCCTGGAAACCCAGGTGGCGGCGGTGGCAAGGAGCACCTTTCTGCAGCTCGGCTGGTCCATCAGCTGCATCCTTACCTGGATGAGCACTGCCTAGCAACAGTGATTCATGCTCTGGTAACCTCCCGGTTGGCTTCCTGTAATGTGCTCTACGTGGGGCTGCCCTTGAAAACGGTCCAGATACTTCAGTTGGTACAAAATACAATTGCCAGGTTGCTGACAGGGACTGGTCATTATTCTCATATAACGCTGGTCCTCTGTCAGCTACAATGGCTCCCAATGGAACTCCAGGTCCAATTCAAGGTGCTGGTATTAACTTATAAAGCCCTAAACGGCTTAGGACCAGAATACCTGAAGGATCACCTCCTTCCCTACATGCCCTCACCCCCTTTAAGATCGGCAGGGGAGGCCCTGCTCCGGGACCCTCTTTTACGGAGGGTGTCTACCTGGAGGAGCGCCTTCTCCGCAGTGGGGCCCAGACTATGGAATGCGCTCCCCAGAGAGGTCTGCCTGGCGCTGATGTTATACTCTTTCCAGCACCAGGTAAAGACCTTTTTATTTAACCATCATTTAAATAATTAAATTATTAATATTAATAAACATTAAGATTTTAGAAGATTTAATTTTTTTCTTTTTCACACAGTCGCATTTTGTATTCTTTCCCTCTTCCTCTCTTCCTCTTAGTTTTATGAAGTGCTGTTTTATATTGTTTTAATAATTGTTGTTTTATTATTGTGCTATTGTAGTATTTTACACTGTGTAAGCTGTCCTGAGCGCTTGTTGGAAGGACGGGATATAAATGTTTGAAATAAATAAATAAATCTGGGAGGTCCGTTTCAGTGGAGAACAAGAACATTATGAGGTATAACCCTTTGGATTAATAAATAGTTTTGTCTGATTTTATAAGGAGGTGGTGAATTTTGAGGACACAGATATTGTGTCATTTGTTAACCACAGCATGTCTGCTTATAAGTAAGATATAGGAAACAATAATTCTTGAATGGCATTGAAAGTTTGGGAAATTTGTAAAATGTATGGTTACATTTTGTTCATTAGTAAGAGAGATGGGAGGGAGGGAGGGAGGGAGGGAGGGAGGGAGGAGAAAAGAATGGTTTATCAGAAGGTGTTGGGTCCTGGTGTAGTGGAATTATAAAGAGATACAGTGTAGACAACATCGGATCTATCAGAGCTGCATCTCCAGTTAGTGTTGTGTTGGGATTTAGCAGATCTGGCCCTCACTCAGCCATGAAAATCACTGGGTGACTTTGGGCCAGATACTGACTCTCAGCCTAGCCAACCTCACAAGATTGTTGTGAGGATAAAAGTGGAGAAAATGACAACCATGTAGACTATCATGGAGTGGGATAGAAATGTAATAATAAATACATGAAATAAATAAGGTTCAAGATTCTGTTTCCCAGCTCCTACCTGCTTCTTTGAGTTCAGCAGAGGATGCAAGTTCTCAGAGTATGATTGATCAGAAGGACTGAACAAGCATTTGGCAGCAGAGTGGTAGTGGAAGAAGAGACAAAGGCAAATAGGTTTTTTCTTTTAATAACTATTTTAAAAGGGCTCTGTTGTTAACCTTCAGAGAAGACAGGGCACAGCACAGCCATTCTAACTCAGTCAGTAAGCTAGAATCAAACGGCAGCAGAGTTCACCGGTTAAAAAAGGCTTGGGTTAAAAACAACAGAATGAAATACAGTAGGGACAAATGCTCAGGAAGATGAGCCCGTATGCATAGCTACAAGATGGGAGATATTTGGCCCAGCTCCTCAGTGACAAGGATCTTGGAACTGTTTGAGATCAGAAGCTGGATCTGAGTGAACAATGTGATGTAGCAGTGTATCAGTAAGAAAGATGCAGACAAACTGGAAAGGGTAACAATGATCACGGAACTGGAAAAAAGGAAAGACTGAACACACTGGACAGGTTTAGAAGAGAAGACCAAGGGATGATATGAATAGCATTGTTTGAATAGCGTTGTAGCGACCCCTGTCCTTCCACTCTTCAGTCCTGCTCTACTACTCTGTTCATTGTGCCAACTAGTCATATTTCTTGTTTGGGGTAAATGCTATCAACCATTGCTATAATTTCTAGGTTAGAGTGGCCATTGTTAAGCCATAATCTATTTGTCAGAAAAAGGGAACAGTTGCTGATGAGACAACATACCTTTATTAGGATCAACTGAAACAGCATACTTCTCTTGTCCATCCATTTGAAACAAAGTATAGTAGATCCAGCAATTCTGAGAATCCTTCTCCTTGCATTTACCTTTGGTAACTGTGCCATTGCGCAGAGTAATGTTTGAACAAGCATAAGAACAATTCTTTTGAAATGGGCCACTCCCAAAGGCAAGACACTCAACACAGGAACTAGAAAATCAACAAGCAGGCATTCAAGAAAAGTTTGATAGAGGTGCAATGAATCTGTATTTTATGTAGCACATTTCAAGCACTCAAAGTTCTTATTGTAGATTAATTTAGTAACTCTTGCACTAGCATTGAAAGGAGAGGGGATAAGAATGAGTAAAGTTTAAGTCTTACTTGTGGGCTTCCCATAAGTATCTGGCATGGGAACAGAATGCTGGGTTAGGTTTGGTTTGATCCAGAAGAGCAGTACCTAGCTACAGTGATCCATGCTCTGATAACTTCCCGATTGGACTACCACAACACGCTCTATGTACGGCTGCCCTTGAAGATGGTCTGGATACTTCAATTGGTTCAGCACAGAGCTGCCAGGATATTAATGGGGACCGGCAGGTACTCTCATATAACACTGGTCCTATACCATTTACTGGCTGCCAATTGAAGTTCAGCCCCAGTTTAAGGTAATGGTAATGGCCTATAGAGCCCCAAATGGCTTGGGTCCTGGATACTAAAGGAGAACCTTTTCCCCTATGTGCCATCTGCTCCTAGATATCTGAGGCAGAGGCCCTTCTCCAGGAGCCCTCCTTGATTCAGAGCAGACAAAAGGAAGTAATTCATATAGTGCCTAGTTAAACTATGGAATTCACTAACACAGAATGTGGTGACAGCTGCCAATCATGTCATCTTAAAACAGGGATTGGGGACATTTATGGAGAAGAAGTTGTTTATGCTTACTCATCATGATTCCCATGTGCCAGCATGAGGATCAGGGCCTGTATATTACAGAATTCTGTTGCACTACTTGTGGGCTTTCTATTGGCATCTGGTTAGCTACTGTGGGAAGCAGGATATTGGACTAGGAAGGCTTTTGATTGCATCCAGCAGGGCTTTTATGGCATTATAGATGCCATGGTACCAAGCAGTCATCAAATACTATCTTTTGGAAATAGCGCAGTAGGTTGGCGCTATTTCCAACCCGCTCCATTGGGTCATTCCATTGATTTTTTCCCCTTATCTGAGTAATACAAGTCTTTGAGTTTTTATTTATATTTATTATGGCGAATTTGTCTATTTCTATCTATACTAATATTTCATTCAAATTATATAATCCTTAGCAATTGTCCAATGATACGTCTGTTGCGCTAACTTTGGAGAGAGGGATACAAAAGAGTTGGTTTATCGGGCAATTCCTGCATTCAAGTGAAGCTTCCTGCAGCTGTAAGGCAACAAGACTGGAGAGCAGGATCTACTGTTCAGTCATCCCAGCAAAGATATAGCCATGTATAAAAGGATGGCTTTTGCATACTGGAATCCAAAATGTCCAGTTGCAATGTACGGCTGTGAAAGCTGGACCATGAGGAAGGCTGGACCATGAGGAAGAATTGAGGCCTTCGAATTGTGGTGCTGGCGGAGACTCCTGCGAGTCCCTTGGACTGCAAGGCGATCAAACCGGTCAGTCCTAGGGGAGATCAACCCTGACTGCTCTTTAGAAGGCCAGATACTGAAGATGAAACTCAAATACTTTGGCCACCTAATGAGAAGGAAGGACTCCCTGGAGAAGAGCCTATTGCTGGGAACAACAGATGGCAAAAGAAGGAGGGGACGGCAGAGGATGAGGTGGCTAGATGGAATCACTGAGGCAGTCGGTGTGAGCTTAAGTGGACTCTGGGGGATGGTGGAGGACAGGAAGGCCTGGAGGAATGTTGTCCATGGGGTCACGATGGGTCGGACATGACTTCGTGACTAACAACAACAACAACATCCAAAATGTAAAGTTCTACATATCACTTACACGTATTTGGCACAGGGTGATGGGCAGCCAGGGCATTCTTCACACCGTGGTGGCTGGTAGCCTAAGATACAGTGGCATGTATTGCACTGGCACTGCCCACGGAGACTGCATACATTCCCGTTACTGTTCAGACAGCCATCTGTTGAAGCCTTGCATTGGCAGGCACTGCCATCATATCCATCAGTGCATCTGCATTTTCCACAGTCACACCGGCCTCGTTCTGGAAAGAGTTTAGGTAAGGTTTTCCCATATATAATTCAAATGTAAAACTTAAATTCACCAGAGTGGAGTTGAAAATGGAGGATCGTCTCTGTATGGACAGTACTCTTAAATGAAACACTCCAGTTTAAAAGGCAATCTTTGTGAAATACTGCAATAAACGTCTGATGCAGGTATTGTCAATTACTGGCACAAGAACTTTTGAAAGATTTGGTTTTGCTAAGAAACCAAATTTCTTAGAGAAATTATTTAATATTTAACATGCACACTTGGACAATAAACCATTATGTGAAAGGAAATTACACAGATGATCAGTTGACTTGTTTCCAAACTATATTGCCTGGTTTATTCAGACTGCTTTCAGGCTGTGTCAGAAAGTTAAATGATGGAGGTATATAACTGTACTTACATACTTTAAAAGCTTGCTATAGAAAGTGCAGCCTGCTAGAACAGCAGACCAGGAGAAATAAAAAATGTATTGCATTCATCATTGCTCACCTTCCCCTCCACATTGTAGACCATTGTGAAGCTCACAGCTCATGTTGTCACATTCACAGAAGGTACCATAAATATGTTTTTTGGGATCATCACTAGTGTGGCATACACATTGCCCACATACACAATCTCCTAGGCCAGAGCAGATGACCGAGGCGTTATCCTTTCGGCAACTCTTTTCCAATTCCTTGCTAGATTTACCTCCAGTTTTACAATCACAATTCTTTCCAGTAAAACCAGGATTGCAACTGTCATGAGAGAAGAAATATTCAGAATAAAAAAATGATTAATAATTGACAGCTTGAGGCAAATATCACAGCATCCTTTGCTGTTACACAGTTTCACTACTTCGTGTTTGAAAACTGGTTTGCCTATACATAATTAGTGTTCGCCTTAGCATATTCCGAGTTCAGCCCATGGACTTGTCTAGCCAAGCAAACTTCCTGCTTTTCAAACTTGTGCAAATTTACTTTGCAAAACTTCTCCAGTTATTTAGTAATACTTATTTTCAGCTCAATATATTATCTATTTTTTTGTTTTGACGTTACCCTTTCCCAAGGGCTTGAGGGAAATATTAGCAGTGTTATGAAATCTGGCACCATATTCAAAAACTTAAAATTATTGGTATACATGGCATCTAATGCAATCCCCCTGCTTGTGTGTGCCCCTTTTCAAGAGTTCCAGTTTATATACTATGTAAGAATGGAACATGGAGAGGACCCTGGGGCAATTATCCCATAACTTAAATGCCCTAGTGTACAGTTCTATGACTTCCACACTCAATGTACATAATGGAAGTGAGAAAGACAACTGCTTTGGGGACACATTTTCAAGGGTTGCTGGCTGGTCTCCAGAAGAAGAATCAGAGGAAGAAGAAGAGATGTGAGGGGGGGTTAGAATGTGGGCCACCCCCCCCCAGACTTTGAGATAAGCAAAGCAGAGATGCTAATCTCAAGGCCAGACTCCCCATCTGGAACGGAAGTCCCTGGGAATAACCAAGCTTATGGGGGCTTGGAGCAAGGGAGTTTCTCAGACACAGATGAGGTGGGCACAGCTCTTGACTCCATGATGCATCATCAGCAAAGGAGCGGCATGCGGAGGAGCGGCATGCTGATGATCGATGACACTTCAGCCCAAACCTTTGCATGACCGCTCCCATTGGTTTCATGTAGATGTTGAACAGCAATAGGGAATCCTGTCGTACACCATGGAATAATAGCCATGGCGCAGATCCATTAGTTCCCAACACCACCGACTGGAATTTCTGGAATTGACCAGCCAAGCAGGATGCTCATCGGGAGAGTTCCTGGAGGTGATTACTAGACTGGGTGCAACAAACCACTCTGTGCATTCTCAGAGAATCATTCTAGGTGTTTGTGTGTCTGGAAAATGCTTTGGGCAATTGTGAATGTTTTTCAAGAAAGGTCTGCGGCTTTGAATGCATGGAGGGAGGAATCCTAGCTCATGACAGTGCTGAAACCTCTGAATTCGGAAGTGTATGTGCATCCATTTCATGGACTGAGGTGTGGTGCTGGAGATGTTTGCCACCACTGCCCCTTAATCCTTGCATTTCCCCAAGGAGACTGTTTCTGCATATCTAGACGAAGCCCCAGGAAGGGGGAGGGGAAAGAAGGGAAGGAGGCTAGGGTGTTGTTTGGATATGGTACACACTGCTACCTCAAACCTCCTTTCCTTCCCACCCTACTGCCATGCACCTTTTCCTCTTTGAGACTAATTTTGACCTCAGAAAAGTAGCCAGCATAGTTTTTCTAAAGAATTCAAGAAGGGAAATTGGGGGGCCCTGCTTTGAGGTTGCAGGACCTTAAAGCAGCATCTCCGAATAATCCTATATCCTCCAGACAATGTCAGGAGGCCACAGGATTACATCCTTCGTCAAATGACAGGCAGCTTTGAGGATTTGGTAAGAGAATAGTTTGTAGGACTGCTGCTCTCAGTATTTTAGGCATTTTTTCCTCAGATTTTGCCTTGAATTGCACTCATGCAAAAATCTCAAACTCCATTTTTTCATTTAGAAACGTTTAAACTAGCAAGTTGTGCATTTTGGAACCAGTGTTTCATTAACAGATTCTGCCTAACATAAAAGGTGTACTTAAGACGTTTAAACAGCCACTTGGATTGTGCTCATGCTCAGCATTTCATAGTAGGATCACATAATCTAGTGGTGGGATTCTAGTTGAAATAATTTGATTACCTGCAGATTCCACACTCTACTTTCCCTTGTCCACTACAGTCAGAACTACTGGGTGGTTCCTCATCACACTCACAGTTACACCGACCGTGCATATGCACAGTGACGAAGTCTGTGAAACCAAGAGGCTGGAGGGTAAGTGTGTGGTTTTCAATGCACTTTGTTGCTGTAATTCTTACTTGGAAGATAATCTGTAAAAAATAAAGAATTGACCCATCTCAATAAACATTATTAGAGAATTCATGCAGTAGGTATCTCTTACCTGTTGAACAAAGGCTGGACTTAGAAGCCCATCTCATTCTCCACCACTATACAAAGCTTGAGAACATAACCCTAAGAGGATAACAGAAAATTGACAAAAATTTCTGCATCTTCAGTTAAGAGCCAAATGACATTTTACATAAAATGTGTAATGGCCTGTAAAATAGTAATTGCAAATTCCTTGATATAGACTGAGTAGAAGGGTTAGCCTCAACCTTGTTCAGAGTCCCAATGAAAACTGCTCTTCCTGTGCTCCCATTAGTGCTAATATCAATTTTCAGTGAGCATTTTCCATAGGGACTCCAGAGCCCTTTCTAGGAGGAAAGGAACATTTCCCTCACCACAAATGCCAGAGCCCTTATCCGGACTCGCACAGATGCTCATATACAAATGACTAGCAGCAGCAGCATATCCAGCATGCAAGTGCATGCACACCCTCACACGCTTTTTTAAAGCATAGGACCATAGAGTCGGAATGGGCCAGGAAGGCCATTCAGTCCGACCCCCTGCTCAAAGAAGGACATCAAGTTATAGTAACCCTGACAGATGGCGGCCTAGGGTTGAATGCCTCCAGTGTGGGAGATCCCACAACATTCCTGGATACTGCTTTAACAGAGATGAGATTTTCCTGATATTCAGCTGGAATTTGGTTTCCTGTAACCTGAGCCCATTATTCTGTGTCCTGCACTCTGGGATGGTCAAGAAATGATCCTGGCCCTCTTCTGTGTTAAGAAGTACTTTCAAGTACTTCTTTCTATGGCTCACAATTAAACTATGGAATTCATTGCCACAAGAAGTAATCATGGCCACTGGTTTGGATTGCTTTAAAAGGGATTGGGCAAATTCATGGAGGAGAAGGCTATCAATGGCCACATCCAGTATCAGAGGCAGTATGCCCATGTGGAGCAGTTCCTGGATAGCTTGGGCAGGAGGCGGCTGTTGTATTCCTGCTTAAGGGATACTGTGGGCAACTGTTTTTCCACTGTGTAAACAGAATGATGGACTCATTTGATCGATTTGCTCAAATTGCATGCATTGATCCAGCATGGTTGTTCTTATGTTTTTATGTCTCTAGCTGTGACTGCATTTTCCTAGGAAAGTTACTCCACACTTTCCTATACAGCACTGAGAACCTTCCCCTTCCCCTTCCCCTTCTTAAAGGAGGCACCCCTGGATTCATACAGTGCACTATAGGCGCTTTTCTCAATGCAGTGGATAAGGTTGTCAGGCTGCTTGTACTGTCTTGCAGAGAACATAAAAACATAGGGAAAGCCATAATGGATCAGACCAAGGGTAAATCTAGCCCAGCACTCAGTACACAAAATGGCAAAGCAGCTGCCTAGAGGGTCCCTCAAGCAGGCTGGGTGCAAGGCTGCCCAAGCAACTGGTATATGCAGGGATGCCATCTCTGGAAAAGAGCTAGCACACAGCCAGCAAGCCACTGATCGTCTCCTTCCTCATGAATCTGTCCAATCTCCTTTTAAAGCCATCTAAATCGATGGCCGTCACTTCTTGTGGCAGTGCATTCCATAGATAATATAGCTTTCCATAGGTGTAGAAAGACGTACTTTCTTTTATCTGCCCCAAATCTCCCACCTAGCTTCACGGGATACCTCCAGGTTTGAAGGAGAAAAATCATTCTCTTTCCACTTTCACCAAATCATGCTATCACATGCATTATCTTAAACTCCTCTATCATGTCTCCCCTTACCTTTTTTCTAAGATAAGCAGTCTCAGTTGCTGTTGCCATTCCTCATAGGGGAATTGCTCCAGCATCCTGACCATTTCTGTTGCTCTTCTCTGCACTTTTTCCAACTCAGTAATATCCTTTTTCAGGTAAGATGACCAGAACTAAACACAATAGTCTAAGTGTGGTCATACCAAGAGTTTGTATAAGGGGAGTAAGATCTTGGCAGCCCTGTTTTCTATGCCATTCCTATTTATGCCTAGCATAGAGCTTGCCTTTTCCCCAGCAGCTGCACGCTGGGCGGACATTTTCACTGAGCTGCCCCCTGCTGCCCCGAGATCCCTTTCTTGCTCAGTCACTGCTAGCTCCAAACCGCTCAGTGTGTACTTGAAGTTGGGATTTTTTGCCCCAAGATGCATTCGTTTACAGTTGTTTATATTCAACTGTATGAGTATTTGCCATTTTGATGCCCAGGTTGGAAAATGATAGGTCTTTGTAGGGTAATGCCTGACTCTCTGTGGTTGTGACAAGGTTATCCTGCTGTTAATGGTATAATAAGCTGTCACAATCCTTCTTTCAAGTAAGGTAAGTCACAAGATTGTCATAAAATGACATGGTGCATGGCTTGATATCAAGCCATTTATTGTGTGTAGTTATTTTAAACTTATTTTCAGCCTGTGCAGCTTTTCCTTTCATTGTGCAAGAAAGCACATACATTCAGAAATCTAGAAGAGATTTATTTTATCTATTTATCTAAAACATTTCTATACCATGTCTATAGTCAGTTGGTTCTCTGGGTGGTTTACTGCATTTAAAATATAAAACAAGACTCAACATCACAATAGGATAAAACCAAAAACAAATTACAGTGATAATCAATAAAAACAAAATATATAACCAATAACAGTAAGAAACAATATCAAACCAATGGCAACAATAAATAATAATTAAAATTATTCTTCCACAGTGCCACAAAAATGAAATATCATATTTCAACAAATGGACTTCGTGGCCCCTTCCAACTCTACTATTCTATGATTCTGTGATTCTCCATTTCATAATATCCACTTCGACAGCTATGACCAATCCATTCAAAGTGTCCCCGTGGCAACTTACAGGGACTCTCCATGGTTGCCCGAACTTTAAAAAATGCACAAGATGATATATTAACCGGTTCAACACCACACATTGCCCACTGAATCTTTTGGCTCCCTTTTCAGCAGTCAAAACTTTTTTCAGCAGTCTTTTTTCTTTAGGAAAAGGAGGTACAGTGTACCTTTGTACTTTTCTGTGCGCCTAGAGTTCACTGGTGGCAATAATGAAGGGGAGGGAAAGATTGGTATCTTTCTGTGAAAACTCACAGCTGTCAAGAGAAATGAAGGTGGGGGAAACATAATTGTAGCCTCTTCTGGACAATAGGGTTAGTATCTGCTGCCCATGGCAGCAAGCACCCCTCACCCCCTGGACCTTGTCCCAGTTTAGGCATCAAATCATAATAGTACTACTGTGAAAATTTGAAGCTGCAGAACTGTGACTAATAAAAAAATACTTTCCCCCCCACAAATTGCTTTGCACAAAAGAAGCCCAGCCTGGGTAACCATGGGCAGTTCCTCCAACTTGCCGCTGGGACACTTTGAAAGAACTACTTGTAGCTGTCCAAAATGGGGATCATGGACACTGGCTTCACAGTGGGCTTTCTTGATCTTACAAACAAACACTTAAAGAGAGAAGCCACAGTGAGCCCAAAATGGCTCGCAGCAGTGGTGAAGAGGGCTGACACCGATGGGGATTGTTCCCTGCTTGGGCACTTCAATCATGACAACACTGGCACTCGCCCAATCGTTCCATGGCAAAAGCAGCACGGGCTTTTTCTGACATGCTTGCCACAGAACTAACTGGCCAGTTCCCTGCATGACACCCATGATGGGATCACTTGCCAGATGATGCCATAAAGCCACTGTGAACACAACAATCCCTACAACAACCTCATTGGTTCTCAAGGTAGCTTGTTGTCCATGTAGCCATGCAGAAACCAGGCTGGGTTCATACCATACGACACTAACAATCTCTTGGGGATACCACCGTGTGATAGGTTGCCGTGTCATGTTACTCCAGTCACCGTCTTGCTTGGATTGTTCAAATGAGAAAAGAATTCAGACAGTAAAGCAGAGCATATTTGCAACTTAAAAGTGACATGTTTAAATTAGCTACATCTCTAAAAGGATTTTGGGGGTGGGTGCTAGAGAAATGGCCTTCTCACAAATGGCATGTCTCCTGAGAAATAAGATGCCTTCTGGCATTCCGTCTACACGCACATCAGCAACAGTAAGAACAGTTTTGAACAGATACATATTATATTTATCCTACCTCATCATTTATCTTAACATTGTCACACTTCCCTTGTGGTTTATCCATTGTATGTACGTTGTTAGGGCAGAAAGAATCATATGAGATTTTGATGAAGTTTGGCAAAGTATCATGGTCCAAAATAATTTTGGAAGACAAATTCTGCAAGAAAATAAGAATATGGTTGATGGAAGCCCAAGTATATGCATCTTATTATCCAGAGGAAAAAAAGGAAGGTAATATTAGCTGTAATCTCCTTTCCCACTGCCTCAGGTCTTGTCTGTGGAAAAGTATACCCTCGAAAGTATAGGGGAGCCAGACATGACAGCCTCTAAAGGTTTCTCTTTTTCTCACAGGCCTAATAAATCATCAGCATAATGCTTAAATGAACATGCTGGAGCAGAAGTGAGCAGAGCCAGAGATAATAGTAGTGAATTTCCTGTGACAAGAGAAAGAACTAGGAAATACCTTCCAAGGACAAGTGACTCCCAAGGACCTATAGAACTTTTATTATTCTGCAGCAGCTGACTTGAGGCTTCGGCAAGGGGCGGCATAGAAATGTTTTAATAAATAAATAAATAAAGTATCCAAGAACAGATAATCAGGTTTGATTTGTTCTCTTCCAGTGGCTCTACCTGAGTATTACTGACTAGAATTGAAAGATATATAATACGTAGCCCCCACAACTGCATTTTTAACAGCCCAGTCATGAGAAGGAGCAATATGGGATGACCTTTGCTAGGATAAAGACAGGGGAGTGCAACCCTGTTAGTTCTCCTCGCCTTCTCAGTGACTTTTGATAATACTACTTCTGGATAGGATGGTGGGAGTTGGAGGTACTGTTTTGCAGTGGTTCCATTCCTACCTGACTGGCCAGTTCCAGAAGGTAGTGCTGGGGGATTGTTTTTCGGTGCCAGGGTAGTAATGTCATGGGATATATCCCCCATCCTCAACATTTACACGAAACTGCTCGGGAGGTTATCCGGAAGTGTGAGCTGAGATGTTATCAACATGCTGATGATACTCAGCTCTATCCCTCTTTCATTACACACAGGTGAGACAATGGCTGCTCAGAATCAGTGCCTGGGCTTGGTAATGGATTGGATGAGGGCCAATAAACTGAGACTTAATTCAGATAAGGTGGAAGTGCTGCTGGGGTGGGGGTGGAGGGGAATCATCTGCCTGGTTGGGTGACATTAAATCTGTCCTGGATGGGATTGCACAATGATAGGGTTCATACTTTGGGGGTGTTCTTGGATCCTGAACTAGCACTGGAGTCACAGGTTGACTCAGCAGCTCGGAGCACCTTCCATCGGCTCAGGCTGATTTATCAACTAATACCCATCTGGACAGGCGGAACCTTGGAACAGTGATCTATGCTCTGGTAACCTCTCATTTGAACTGCTATAATGCACTCTATGTAGAGCTGCATTTGAAGGTGTTCTGGAAACTTCAACTGGTTCAAAACAGAGCAGCAAGGCTGCTGATGGGGACTTGCCAGGATAACATATGCCAGTCCTCTTCCAACTCCACTGGTTACCAGCTGAAGTCCAGGCCCAATTCTGAGGGCTTACATTAATATTTAAAGCCCTAAACTGTTTGAGGTCAAGTTATCTAAAGTAATACCTTTATCCAGTCTTTGTCTGAGATCCTTCTCAGAGAGCCACTCTTAAAGAAAAGAAAATGGCTTAAGCGGGTCGCTACTAGAAAAAGGCACCCTTTCTATGGACTCAGCTTCCCAAGGAGGTGTGCCAGGCATCCACTCTACATTTCTTTTGGTGCCTGGTAAAACCATTTTTATTCATACAACATTTTAATAGTTAAATAATTTTAAATCTTCTAATAAAAATATGTTTTGTTTATATTGCTGCTGTACCCTTGGACTAATTTTAGCGTGGCTGTTGTAAGCTTATGGTTCCTGTTTTAGTGTTGCTATTTTATTAATGTATTATTTAGGGTTGATTTTAATGTTTTAATTTGTCATTGGACATTGTGTTTATGTATTTTGACTCTCTGAACTCCCCAGAGAGCTGTTCTGGCTAATGGGCAGTTTAGAAACCAAATAAATACATAAACTTTGCTAGGAAACAAAGTTGAAAACTCACAAAGAAAAAGTGGTAAGTACAGAAATGCTTGTGTTTGGCTGAGGGATTTCTGTGTGGGGACACCTATCTCCTTGAGGCCATGCCCTTTTAAGCATACAGCAAATATGAATCTAGTTTGTGGGAAGAGACGAAGGCAGTCTTTGGAACTGCTCCTATAACTAACTAATGCTTCAGATAGAAAAGAAATAGTGAGAAAGCATGACAATTCTTGACCATTTTTTTCTCCCTCAGTACCTATTCAAGCTGCTAATCCTTTCCTGGGCATGCTCATAACTTATATTCTGCTACAGTGTTAAAGGAGGCTACACTGTAAAAGCTAAATAGGTGAAGTAGGCAGTTTTTAACTATTCCCTAACATATATAGGGACTGCGGGTGGCGCAGTGGTTTAAACAAGGTCGACAGTTCGAATCCACAGGACAGGGTGAGCTCCCGTGCTTTGTCCCAGCTCCTGCCCACCTTGCAGTTCGAAAGCATGCAAATGCAAGTCGATAAAAAGGTACCACTTCGGTGGGCAGGTAACAGTGTTCCGTGCACTTCGGTGTTTAGTCATGCCGGCCACATGACCACGGAAACTGTCTGTGGACAAACGCTGGCTTCCTCGGCTAGGAAACGGAGATGAGCACCGCCCCCTAGAGTCAGACATGACTGGACTTCACGACAAGGGGAAACCTTTACCGTTAACATATATTTGAAATTTGGACCGAATCTCTAAATTTGTCATGTGCTTACACTAATATACACATCCTTCTGAACTGCAAAGGATAATGGGCTACAAATCCAGTCCTGAAGGATGGAAACAATACTTAGTAAGACTTACATTGTAAGCATCTTTGATGAGTTGAATGATATTATTTGAATTCTCCTGTAGCTCTCCCACAGCAGACTTGGGGATCATCTTACTGAGCTTCTAGCAATGAAAACAAAGACAAAGAAACAAGCATTGCCTCACTGGCTATGTTCAGACATAATGCCAAGAAAAGCCATGAAGTGTACCTTCCTTGCCTCATTCATGAGCAGTTTCAGTGCACCTTCATCTCCCCTCCAGGTGGCGGCATGAATGCCAGAGCCCCCATAGCTGTGAACCACTCCCAGTGCATGACACTCCTGCCCGCCTCTCCTCCGTTGCCCTGGGCGTCTTCTCAGCCCGTCACTACTTTCCCCCCTGCTGTTTTTTTACAGAATAGAGCAGTATATCTGCAGGAAGAGCACAGCAGCACCCCCCCCCCCGCTGCTGCCACACTCTGCCCATGCAGTCCATACCCACAGCACCTGTATCTTTCCCCTTGATTACAGTGCATACGTCTGACACTCCCCCTCGTGCACAGGACTCGCACGTGCTGCTGGGGCTGCCTCCCCACAGCAGGCACATAAAAGGCAGCAGTGCAGGCTCTGGTCCCAGGGATGGAGGGGTGTACACTCCCTGGGATGCCTGCCCGGGAAGCAAGGCTGCGCACACTGCCCGTGTGCTGCTTCACACAGGGCAGTGACCAGGAAGAAGCACCACACGCGGCTTTCCCTGCAGCTTCCCTGATGCATGGCTGGCTCCTCTCCCCACCTCACTGCCTTGCACGCTGCCATGCCAGATCACCCACTTTGTGTGTCACCTTACTGGATTGCTGAGATGCCGGTATTGCCTGTTTCATATGTGTGGGCCGTGAGATCACTTTGTGAGGGCCTGCCTCTCACGCGAGGCCCCATGTTGCAAGAGACAGATGAAACAGAGAGCAAGCTGAGGACCCCTTGGCTGGGAAAGGGTTAATACTAGGTTCAGAGGCCCGGCTGCTTCAGCCAGGTCGTGATTCATGGAAAGCAAGGTACCAAGACAGCAGCAGGGCTCAGTGGTGCTTGGAATGCATAAGTCTAAAGATACTGTAAATTACTTCCTAGGACAGGAGAATTCACACTCCCCCCAAGGCCAGAGACTTCAGGGCTAAAGGGCAGACAATTCTCTCCTGGGTAATGTTCAGAGGTGTCACCCCATAAGTCATTTGTTTGATCTGTTAGGGATAAAAACTGGAGGCTGAGGTAGGTTGGGGTTCTCTGAGGAGAGGTTTTCTGTTGCTGACGGAGGCTATGCCAAAGGATGCCATGCTGTTCTACAGCTGGAGAAGGCTACGTTGGGTACTGTATACTGCGTTAGTCTTAGGGACAGCTAGCTTTGTAATTTGGGTATGAGGCAGCCAATTGGCCTTAGGGGTCTTTTGGGAGCTGAGGCTGGATTTCGTGAAAGCGCTGCTCTCCAATTCCCTTTCCCTTCCCTTCACAAGTTTTTGGTGTTAGCGTGTTGTATTTTAGAGTGTTTTAAGATCCTCCACCCGCATTGTGTTACTCTTGCATTTTAATAAGCAAGTTTTCCCAACACTCGGGTTGTCATGTGCTGCATCCAGTGTCTGGCCCTGGGATTCGGGAACCAGGGAATGCCGAGCAGAGAGTTGTGAGCCGGGGGGAGGTGGGCACTCTGGGGTAATTGACTGTTACATCAGGGACATAGGGGCCTTGCCCAAGGCTTGTGCAGGAGGTGGGCCCTCTCAAGGCAGGCAAGATGGCCATTTTGGCTATCTGGCAAGGTGGCATGCAAGGTGGGTAATCCAGCAAGGTGGGCTTGGCAAGGCAGACATGAGAACAGCAGGGGGCACACAGTGGAAGGGAGGACAGGGAACATGGAGTCAGCCAATCAGCACCCTGCGTGCTGGCAATTCAGGCATTGCCAGGTGAACAGGGCAGCAAAAAATGATGGCTGGAGCATCTGCAGCTGCCACAGCTGATCTCACCATCAAGCTTGCTGGCTGAAATGGGGATACAATGGAAAAACATGGTTAAGTGGCTTCGTCCAGAACGACAAGCAATGCAGAAATGTGGAAACCTTTGAACAAACCATTTTTTCTCCATGGTAACCAAATGTGCCATATTTTACCCTACTTCCAGTATTCACATATAACAACAAGCCATTCCTGCCGTGGTTTGTTGTTATGTGCGAATACAGTCACTCTGTTAGACGTGTTTCTAAGATTGATAATATGAAATCAAAATAGCTAATATGCGTTCCCAGTGTATTCTTGGACTGATAAGATTCCAGGTTCTAATAGCATTTCATTCTTTTCACCACAGGCATTGTATTCTTTACCTTCTTAACCACTGAGAGTTTTACTTACTTGATACGTATCAACCATTTTCTTGGTAACAGCAAAAATGGGCTGGATGTTATTTTCTTTAAGTTTTTGTACCAAATGCCCAACTGATGGATAATCCTGTATGATAAAGGAAACAAAAGGGAAGACTCTTTTTCCAAGTCCCAGGGTACATAATAATTCATTTTCCATAATAATTCATGTGGTAGAGAAGCCAGGTAAAGTTAATTAGGATCTACAAGTCCATTTAAAATAGATTTTTTCAAAATGGACTATAGTTTTATTTGCTTGAGAAAGCATGTAATCTCAATTAGGCATCTTCCCACTTTGTTCTGCAGAAGCTATGGAATAAGCAACAGCAAGATAGTATCCACAATTCTGGAAGCCAATATTTATAGTCTGCTCTTTTATTTTGAATTATTACTATGGTGAAAGCTGAACATCGTATAATCACAGATATAAAAATCTAAATAAAAATTTAGAAGTGTCATGTTCTTATGCTGCTATTATGTGCTGTCAAGTTGTTTCTAACTCATGGTGACCCCATTTATGAAAGATCTCCAAAATGTCCTATCCATAATAGCCCTGCTCAGTTCTTGTAAATGAAAGGCTGTGGCTTCTGTTATAGAGACAATCCATTTCATATTTGGACTTGCTGTTCTTCTGTCCTTGACCTCCCCTAGCATGATTATCTTCTCCAGTGAGTTTTGCCTTCTCATGATGTGTCCAAAGAATGAAAGCCTAAGTTTTATCCTTTTTGTTTCCCAGGAAAGTTCTGGATTGATTTGATCTAGGACTCACTAGTTTGTCTTTCTGTTTGTCCAGGATATTCACAAAACTCTCCTCTGTTTAGAACACATAAATTTTCTGTCTGTCAGCTTTTTTCATTGTGCAGCTTTCACACCCTTACATAGTGATCAGGAATACAACAGTGTGAATGATTTTGGCCTTGGTCTTTGGTGAAAAATCCTTATATTTGATTATCTTTTCTAGTTCCTTCATTGTTGCCCTTCCAAGTCTCAGTCTTCTTTCTATTTCTTGGCTGAAGTCTCAAATTGAATTGATGGCTGAAGTATGTATTTGCAATAAACAGATGGTTGACTTCACAAAATTCTACAGGTCATTCGTCTTCTTCATTTCTTAATCTTAGGCCAAATTCTCCTACAGCATTTGATACTGCTTTGTTTCCTACTTTTGCATTCAATTTACCTAGAATTGTCAGCCTGTTTTGTTCTGGTATGTTATCAATTTCTTTTTGGACACCAGCACAAACATTTCCAATTTCTTCTTCAGCAGCATCTGTTGTTGGAGCAGAGACTTGAAAGATGGTTATCTTGATAGGTTTTCCACTAATTCTGATTGATATTATCTAGTCATATTTTGCATTACAGCCTCTTACTGTATGTGCTACATCTTGCCTTAGCGCTCAAGCTACTTCATGTCACAGAAGACATGGAGTTTGTCATTTCCAGAGTAAAACACTTGGTGATCTCTGATTGAAAATGTCTCATTCCATTTAATTTTAGTTTGTTCATACTGTGCTGATTAGCCATTCCATTTCTTGTTTTATGGTTCCCAGTTTGCCTTGATTCAAACTTTTCATGTTCCAATTATATGTTTTGCATAGCATCAGACTTTCCTTTCATCTCTGTGCATGCCAGCCATTAGACTTTTCAGCTTTGATCTAGTTGCTTCATTAGAGAAAGAGTTATTCATATTTGTTCTTTGTTCTTTTCAAGTTACTCATTGAGTAATTTCCATCATGGGGGGTGGGTGTGTCTCATCTTCTGGCACTATCTATCATTTTGGATTGTAATCCAAAGAAATGAAAATTCAGAAGTGGTTTCCTATTGCTTTCTTCTGCACAGTACTAACTAGAGTTAGTTAGAGTGTCACTGGCATTTACTGGGTAAGATCCTCTATGAGTGTTGACTTCAGCTACTGCTGCTGACCAGTAGTGGCCCTTCAGGAGTTTCTCTGCTCCCTTCCCATTTCAGATATCCATTCTCTTCTGCCGATGTGACTGTTGCTGCTGAAGAGAGTGGGTGCATCTTAGTCTGGTATCTCTGCTTTGACTATTCTGCCTTGACTATTTCTACATCATCCAATAGCCAAAGCTCTTTGAGCAGTTCATAGAACAAATTATCACAAAAACTTATACAGGGACTAAAATCTATCTATATATATATAAGAACAGGTAGTTACAAATCATGATCATATTTTAAATAGTAGCATATTGGAGTATTTTTCATGTTTTTCATTCCTTCCTCAAAATGAGGTTGTTCTTAATTCTAAGATAAATATTAGAACATTTCCTAATACAGCATTTCTGTGTCACAGAAGGTTTAATCCAGCATTAGCTTGAAATAGTAAGTTTTACTCAGTATACCTATATACTCACTTAGAGTATAGCTAGTTGGCTGCTGCTTTTATGAGAACTTACATAGTCATTGCTCTTTTTATACATGTTTTCTTCCAGGTGGCATCTCCCATCAAATGGAGTTAAGATGGCCCCAAGCTTACCATCCCCAGCAAAATGGAAACCATCATCTGTAGTATATACCAGTAAGCGTGTCACATTATTCCAGCCAATTTTATCCTGGATTTTAAAAAAGAACACATCTGAAAACAGTAAAAACTAATACTAATAAAAACAGTAAAACAAATAATCAAGGCAAAAATTGCTTAGCAATTTCCAAGGAAGGATTGCAATATCCAAGAAAGGATATTCTATTTTTATTACAAGGGAGCTTTTAATGAAACCATTATAAAACCATACTACTGGTGTTTGTCATGATGCAAGCCAAAGATTTGTTCCAATTTAGAACATTTTAGAGAGTGGTTTTAGAGTTATCTGGAGGTATCAAGAACTGCAGCAGGACCTAAGATCAAGACTGCTTTTGGGGCTAGTTTGTATGTTTAGAATTTTGAAGTGTAACGTGACCACTGGGTAAACGTCTAAAATTAAAACTAAATAGGGAGCAGTAGGAGGATTTGCAGGAACCAAGGAGGGTGTCTGAATGCGCCTTTGTGCCTCCAGGTGCCATTTTGGAAAACCCAGTCCTAGATCCTATAGAACCAATGCAATCTCTGTGGATATACAGTTAAAAAGTTTCTGAGAACAATTGTAGTAGGAATTGATGTGTGGATTTGTTTGATTTGCATTCTGATATGAACTGATGAGACTCTCTGTTTCTCTGGCACTATCCCCACTCATGGTAAGCAAACAGTGATCCTGAAGGTTCAGTGATCACTGAGCTGGGGAAGAAGAATGTTAAAGAGGGGGGAAAGGCAAGATATAAATGTAATGTAATGATGATGTTTCTGGCTAACAGTAAAACTTCTATTCCAACACTCCACCTGAGATTTCTGTCCCAGGCTGGGAAACCATCTTCTATTTTTTAAGGCAATACTTAGTCTAATTAAACTTTCCAAACACAGTCTATTATGGTGCTTATTATCATATGGCAGTTCTCTTACCCCGCAGACAGCCGCTTGCATCATGGCATCTAGTCCTCCCTCTGGTGCATCAAGATTCCCTGATATATCCTGCTTCCCTACTTCCTCTTTAAACTTCTCAACATCATCTGTGAGGCTGAGCACATGTCTGAAAGCAAATGGTGGTTGGCACTTTGTCTCCTTGCTTGGACAGGGGTTCTGCAACTTCTCTGGGTGTGTGTTTACAAAGGGCAACACAGTCTTATCCACAAAAGCACCAAACCCTAAAGGAACATAAATAAGGTGTTTAAGGAAGCATCTAAAAATGGTTAATTGTAACTGAACAAATCATGAATTTTAACCACCACAGAGGCTGCCATTGTTTAAAATATGTATTCATTCACATATTTATATGCTGCCTATATGCCACAGTGGCCTCCAAAGGTGGCTCACAGAGAAAGAGTAAATATATAGAGAGAATGGGAAGCAGGAAAGCAAGGAGAGGAAAATAAGTAGAAGAAGGTGGGTATTTATAAAGGACTATCCCTTCAAAACTGAACTTAATAGGGGAACATTGTTATACCACTCTTCCACTGAAAGACTGCTTGGTTTTACTGCTTTTGTTCTAATTTTTTAAAGATGTTTATGCTTTTATATCATTTTGATAGTGGAGTTTATATATTGAGTATTGTATGTAATCAACCTGGAAATTCTGGTTCCTGACTCCGAGCTGAGCAGATCAGAGGAAGCTACCCGGGTGGTCTAGGGACTATTGGATACAAGCAACCAAGCTTGTATCCAATAGACAGAGAACAGAGACAGAGAACAGAGAACAAGAGAGAAAGCTAACAGGGGTTTGGTGGAGGAGTACAGCAGGGGAGATCAAGTGGGAGGTCATTAACCTTTTCTTACTTTCCCCCTTAGTTTCCCTTCCTCCTCCACACCCCTGGGTTCCCCCCCCCCCTTTATAACACACTTTCATTTATTGGTAGGAGTCTGTTGTTAACCTTCGTGGAAGACGGGAGAAAGCACTGCTTTATAAAACAGAACTAGCAAGGTAGAATCAGAAAGGCAGCAGAATGTATGGCCTGAGAAGGCTCCCTAGTAGTGGGGATCTGCAAGGAGAGTGCAATGTTTGTTTTCTGGCCTGAGTTCAACAGGACCTACATGTGCAACAGGAACAGGTGAATGCACTAAAGCAGTGAGTGTCCACCCTCAAGGGAATAAGAGAAGATGAAGACAGAGTGGTGGAACTGCGACAGCTAAGTGTAGTACAGAAACTAGAACTGCAAGTGGAGAAGCTGGAGGTAAGGGAAGATCAGAAGGAATCTCCCTGGAAAAGGGTGACAGGTGCAGAAGAACTAGAAGACACTCTGCACCAATGCAAGTGGTGGAACTATGGAGCCGCTTTCAGTTACTTGAGGTTGTGAGTGGTGGGCAGCCTGCAGAGGAAGAACTGCAAGTCATCCTGTTCAACACTAAGCAAGAGGCTGAAGAACAACCAAGTCATGGAGGGTTATTATGATCTTCTTCAGATTGAATGGGAAATGGATTTAGAGAGGGATATAGAAAAGGAAGAATGGGGGGAAATATGGGATAAGAGAATATTAAAATTGCATCAATCAGAATTAAGTAACACTTTTATAAATTAGTATGGAAATGGTACCTGATACTGGTAAAATTATTTTAAATGGATAATTCCTGTGTATGTTGGAGACGCAGGCAAAAAGTGGGTACCTATTTCCATATGTGGTGAGAATGTGAAAGTATAAAGAAAATTTGGATAATGGTTTTATGGAAATTAGTAAGATATTGAAGCAGATCCTGAATTTGCCTTATTGTTAATATTTTATGAAAAGATATAAAATGGAAAACTAAAGAATTAATAACAAACTTGGTAACAGTAGCAAGATTAATAATAGCAAAGAACTGGAAAGAGAAATGGGATTTCCAGTTAACAGAATGGTATAAAGAAATTTGGCATATAGCTGTTAATGATAAGCTGATGGGCAGAATAAAGGTGCAAAAAGGATTGACAAATAAGAATGATTTTAATGATATATGGGGCTTGTTTATTGAACATGTATTTATAAAAGGGAAGGGTATTAAACCTTTGGATGAGTCAATGCAATTTTGGAGGGAAGGGGGTATTCCTGAAAGAGTGGAAAATGAGGAAAAAGTAAGGAAGAAGAAAGAAATGAATGAATGATTACTATGTAGCCATGGTCCTGGTGGAGGGGTGCACTAGCTATTTTCTATATTTTCTGTGTTGTTCTATTTTCTTTATGATGTATTTTTATATTCTTTATGATGTATCATTGTATTTTATTATTGTATTTCATATTTTTATATATATATACGTGTGTGTGTGTGTGTGTGTGTGTATATATATATATACATATTTAAAAGATGAAAGTACTTTGGTGAGCCTCCATTTCAACCGGGAGATTGTAAACCTGTCCTGGATAGGGTTGCACTCCCCCCAAAGGACAAGGTTCATAATCTGGGGATATCCAGAAGCGCCTTTTATCAGCTCCAGATGATTTACCAACTACATTCCTTCTTGGATGAGGGTAGTCTTGCCCTGTTCATTCATGCACTGGGAACCTCCAGACTGGACTTTATGTGGGGCTTCCCTTGAAAACAGTCTGGCCTCTTCAGATAATAATCCAGAACAAGGCAGTGCAATTGCTGATGAGGACCAGTTCCTATGAACATATTACACCTGTCCTCTGTTGACAGCACTGTCTGTCTGTTCAGGCCTGGGCTGAATTCAAAGTTTTGACTATGACATATAAAGCTCAAAATGGCTTGGGACCACATTATCTTAGGGAGCACCTTACTGCATACATTCCTGCTCATTGTTTAAGATCATCAACTGAGGCCCTCTGACATGTTGACCCAGGAGGCCCCTTCTGACTCACTCTGTTTCTATGTTCCTCTCCCTAAGGTTAAGGGGGAGCGTGCAGGGAAGAGGGCCTTTCCTGTGGCAGCACCCCAACTGTGGAATGCTCTACCATTGGAGATATTAAACTGAATAATATCAATCAGAATTCATGAAAAACCTATCGATATAACCATAGTTCAAATCTATGCACTTACAACAGGTGCAGAAGAAAAAGACACTTAAAGCTTTTATGCAGGTGTCCAAGAAGAAGCTGAAAACCCATCAAAACAAGAAATGCTGCTAAAAATAGGTGACAGGAATGCAAAAGTAGGAAACAAATCAGAATCAAATAATGTAGGAAAATCTGGTAAGAAAGAAACAGGAGAATAACTCATAGAATTCTGTGAAGCCAACATTCCCCTCATGGCAAATACATACTTCGCACAAGCATTCAGATGACTGTATACATGGACATCACCAGATGGCCAATATAGAAATAGAATAATAAAGAAATAAAATAAAATGTAATTGGAATCAGGAAGGATCTGGCTAGGGTATGAAAGTGGGCAGGGGAGAACAGGATGGCATTCAATGTGGATGAGTGCAAGGTCTTGCACTTGGGGCATAGGAATGGGTGTCATAAGTACAGGTTAGGGGACAAGTGGCTGGAGAGCAGCACTTGTGAAAGGGACTTCAAGGTGCTGGTTGACTTCAGGCTAAACATGAGTTAGCAGTGTGACCCAGTGGTCAAGAAGATGAATGCCACCCTTGGTTGCATAGCCAGAAGCATGGCTTCTAGATCAAGAGAGGTATTACTACTACTACTCTATATGACTCTGGTGAGCCTGCAACTGGAGTATTATGTTCAGTTCTGGGCTCCACATTACAGGAAAGATATAGCCAGGTTGGAATCAGTGCAGCAAAGGGTCACAAGGATGGTGGCCAGATGGCAGGGAAAGCTGTATGAGGCGAGACTGGGGGAACTGTATCTTTTCAGCCTGGAGAAGAGCAGACTCCGAGGGGATCTCTTGGCGACCTATAGACATGTGAGGAGGTGTCACAAGGAGGTAGGCAGAGACCTGTTTTCCGCTGCGGAGGAGGGCAGGATGCATTCCAATGAAGCAAAGCTCAGGGAACCAAGGTTCAATTTGTATGCCAGCAAGTTCTTCCTGACAGTTAGGACCCCTAGGGTATGGAATGGGCTTCCTTGGGAGGTGGTTGAAGCCCCATCGGTGAGGGTATTCAAGGATAGGCTGGACATGCACATGGTAGGCAAATCATGAATGGAGCCGGGGGTCAGACTAGATAGCCCAGGAGGTCTCTTCTGACTCGCTCTGTTTCTATGTTTCATTCCAATTCCCAGGAAAGGAGACACAAATTAGTGCAGCGACTATAAGTTCCCACACAAGCAAAGTGATGTTGAAGGTGTTGCAGCAAATATATTACCCTTTGTGGAGTGAGAAATGTCTGATGTTTAAGCTAGATTCCAAAAAGTAAAAAGCCCTTAGGATCATGCTGCAAATACATGTTGTTTACCAGAGGACACCAAAGTATTTCGGAAGAAAATTGTTCTATACTTTATAAAGTACAGCAAAGCCTCTGGTTGTTTTGATCATGTGATGGTCCTAAACAAAATGGGTATGCACTTGATTTTTTAAATGAACAAGCTGTATTGTGGAATAGAAGTTACTGTTAGCACAGAATATGGGGAAACGGAATGATTTCCTACAGGGAAAAGCATCAGACAAAGATGTATTTCATCTATTCAGCCTGTACACAGAACATCTAAGAAAGCTGAACTAGGATCAGAGGAAGGACTGAAAATTAGAGTCAGACACATCAATAATGTAAGATATGCAGATGATACCATATTACTGGTAGAAAGCAGCAATGAATCAAAATGTCTCCTGATGAAAATGAAAGAAAGTGAAAAAGCAGACTTGCGGCAGACAACAAAAATAACTGCAGAAAAATTACAGAACTGGAAACAATGACGAAATTGAAATTGTGAAGGAAGTTATATATTTCAGCTCAGTCATCAGTTCAATGGAAGACTGCAGCCAAGAAATTCAAAGAAGTATGAGACTCAGAAGGGCAGCAATAAAGGAATTAGAATAGATAATCAAATGTAAGGATGTTTCATTGGAGACCAAGGCCACGATCTTTCACACTGTTGTATTCCTGCTATTTAAATAAGAAAAATGTGCATGTTAATGTAACAATGTTTTGAGTTTGGCCTCTTCTCTTCCTCCTGTGTTCTATAGTTACAACAGAAGGTTTATACACAGTCTAAAAGACTGGATGTTCACAGCAAGAAGATTGTTAATTAATATGTTTTCTATGGAATAAAGTTATATACTTTTAGTAATTTGAGTTACTATGCTTGTTTGAGTTACCAGAATTGCAGGCACCAATTTTTCAGTACCTGGAAATAATACATCAAGTATAATAATACATACCTATCCGAGCATTTTTAGTAATATCGTTGAGAGCTTTAAGAAGGTCACCACCTAGCTTCTTCACAATTTGGAGATCATCTTCCATAGAGTATGAAAGGTCCATCAAGTAGTAGAGATCTATGGGGTAATCCTGACCACGGTGGAATGTCACATTAAAAACAGCAGGTTGATCTATTGGTGAAAGAGAAAAGAGTAAACATTTGTCCCATCCCACAAAGCTGGAGAACTTCCTCCATTCTCTAATGTGGAAGCCTGCAGGAGCTAAGGTGCCCAAAGAGATTTCCCATTTCTTTCTTTATTTGAGTTATACTCTTTCTACTCCAAAATGGTACTTATGCCACCTGTAATACTCGTACAGTTTCTGAGACTGCAAGGCATCTAGGAGTGCTGTAAACAAATGTGCTTGCCTAGGCACCAGCTGTACACTGTCTTCATTGCCCTGGAATGCCTCTGGACCATGTGTGAATTGAAAGGGATCCATATTTGCATACTGTTTACATGAGAGCTGCCCAAACCACCACTGATTCTCCATGTTTATCTCCAAGGATTAAGCCATAAAAATTACAGTCCAGCATTTCTCCATGTTGTTATGGGGTAAAAACATAGACCTGAAAGATAGATTCTTATGCAGTCTCATGATCCTTGTTTAATTTTTTAAAAAATATTTATTTAAATGGCTCCTACAATACTATTTCTAGGTATTCTGCAGAATGAAATACAGTAAAATGCACAATTGAAATCCAGCACACATAAGATGTCTAAGAGACACATACCAGTACAATAACATAAAATACATTATTACACAAGCTAAAACAGGTGACTGAAACAAGAATTAAAACCAAACTATAAAGACTAAAGTACTGATTTTAAAAATCCACCCCTCCCAAACCAATCAACCAACCCCCCTTCCCTATCTAGAGTTTCTAGAGCTTTACCAGAGTTTTCCTTATTATGAGATTTTCCATCATCTTCTCCCAGAATGGACTTAAGCTAACTGGCCTGTAATGCCCCTGATCTCCTCTTCCCTGGGAGGTGATGGTGTTCCATCAGTGAAGGTTTTTCAAGGAAAAATTGGACAAGCACATGCTGGGTATTACATGAGTGGTGTTGGCTGGAGCCACTGGTCAGGCAAGATGGCCTGGGAGACCCATTCTGACTCTCTGTGCTTCTATGATTCTAAGATGGGGAACTCTTGGCTCAACAATGCTGCTAGTGAAAAGGATCTTACAGAACACAAGCTGAATATGAGCAAACAATGTGCTGTGGCTCCAAGAAGGGCAAATGCTATTTTAGGCAGCATTAATAGACATATCACTTCCAAAGCCTGTGAAGTCCTAGTTGCCTTTTACTCAGCACTGGTTAGGTCTCACCTGGAGTTCTGTGTCCATTTCTAGGCGCCACGGTTTAAGAAACATTGAAACCGAGTGAGTCAGAAGGGGTCTTCTGAGCCATCTAGTCTGACCTCCAGCTCCAGCCGGCTCTGCTCATGACATACCTACCGGCCTATCGTTAAACACACTCACCAATGGGGATTCAGCCACCTCCCGTGGAAGCCCATTCCATACCCTTGGGGTCTTAGCAATCAGAAAGTACTTCCTGGCATCTACCTTGAATCTTGGTTCCCTGAGCTTTCCTCCATTGGAACACATGCTGCCCTCACCTGCAGGGTAAAAAGGTCATGACTCACCTCTGTGTTATACCCCCTCATGTACCTGTATGTTGCTAAAAGGTACCCTCTGAGTCTCCTCCTGGCTGAAAAAACTCAGTTCCCTCAGTCTCTCCTCATCTGGCTTACCCTGCAAACCAGCCACCATCCTTGTGGCCTTCGCTGCATTGATTCCAACCTCGCTATATCCTTCTTGTAATCTGGGGCCCAGAATTGAACACAATACTCCAGCTGTGGGTGCATCAGAGTCATACAGAGTGGTAGTAGTGCCTCTCTCAATCTAGAAGCCATGCTTTTGGTTACACAGGCAACGGTGGCGTTTGCCTTCTTAATCACCACGTCACACTGCCGGTGCATGTTCAGCTTGCTGTTGACAAGTACGCCAAGTTCCCTTTCACAAGTGCTGCTCGCCAGCCACTTGTCCCCTAACCTGTACTTAAGACACCCATTCCTATGCTCCAAGTGCAAGACCTTGCACTTATCCACATTGAACGCCATCCTGTTATTCCCTGCCCACTTCCATAGTCTGTCCCGATCCTTCTGGATCTGGAGTACCTGTTCCTCACTTATGGCTACTGCTCCCATTTTTGCATCACCTGTGAATTTGATCAGCAGACTGGTCTCCCCCTCTTCCAAGTCATGGATGAAAAGATTGAACAGGATCGGCCTCAGGACAGAGCCCTGGGGGACCCCACTTGTCACTGACTGCCATCCAAATGATTCCCCACTAATAGTTACCCTAAGACAGATGCAGACAAGCTGGAAAGGATTCGGGGGTGGGGGCAACAAGGATTATTGAGGGACTAGGAACAATGCTCTACAAGGAGAAATTGAAAGAACTGGACATGTTTAGTCTTGAGAAGAGAAGACTGAAGGGAGATATGAGAGAACTCTTCAAATAATTGAAAGGTTGTCATAAAGAGGAAGGCTAGGATCTCTTCCCGATCATCCCAGAATGCAGGACATGGAATAATTGGTTCCAGTTACAGGAAGCCAGATTCTGGCTGAATATCAGGAAGAACTAATGGAACCAATTACCTAGGGAGGTTATAGGCTCTCCTGCACTAGAAGCACTCTAGATGCAGCTGGACAGCCATTTGAGAGGGATGGTTTGAGTCCTGCAGGGGGTTGGACTGATAGCCTTCTTGGCCCTTGCAGCTCCTTCTATGATCAGTCTCTTGGAATGAGAACTTCCAGATAAGTAAGAAATTCAGCACAGTGCCTAAATTGTCAATTAGATAACACAATATGGGATATATTATCTTAAACCAGTCAATAGAATAACCAGACTCATTAATCATCTACATCAAGGCTGGAACTGATAATGGGGTTCTAAAATAAACAATGAAAGATCAGCAGCACAGATAATATGTTTGCATTATGTTCATTTGTATTCAAGTACCTTTTACACTTAGCTACTGCTGTGGTGGCAGTATGAGGGAAGTTAGTCTTGCTGCCCTACAGAATTATCGATACACTGCCTGAGCTTCTTCTAAGAGAGATTTCACAAACTAGTCCTGTCTGTACAATCATCCTTTTCATTTACTTTCAACTGCTATGTTTAGGAATAACTATAAATGAGTACCTTTTCTTAGCTGCAGTTGCACCTTCTGAGGGTAGAGTTGCTGACCATTTGGTAGAGCAGGGGTGCTAGGAAAGGCAAGGCTTTCTGGAAAAATAATATTCCCTTCACAGCCCCTCTTCAGGAGCTGTTGCATGGTGTCACAACGAGCAGCATCTGGTTCTCCTACTTTTGTGAAATCCTGGATTATACAAAAATCAAAAAGGGTACTATAGCAAATATGTTTCCTGATTTGTTTTGGAAAGAACTAAGGTTAGAGCCCATGCTTTTCATGGAAAAGGTTCTAGAATCAGCCCTCGGCATCTCTGGGAGGTGCTGGAGAATTAAAGCTAGTCAGAATTAAAAAAAAGTCAGCTTCATATGGCATCCTTCCAAAATACTAGGAGCATCCAAAAAGGACACGTTACTTCTTCAACTCAGCCACTGGGGAAAAATGCAAGTTTATAGAATTTGTGGCTAAATAGCAAATGTAATAGAAACCATAAAATGCAAAATCATTTCCTGCATTTGTTTTGTATACATATGAGATTTTCTTTATTAATTTTTCACAAAATCTAGTACATGAAATGTCAGATTTGGACTTGGAAAATTTTATACATGAATCCTAATTTATTGAATGACTTTAGCACATGCCCACAGTCACCTCAGAAGATTGCCATGTGTACTGCACAACTCAAGCACCACTTGTATGATCTCCAAAAACCATGTGTCAATTGAAATATGCATAGTTACTGAAGGGATCCATTACATTAAAATCCATACTTGATCCTTGAATGTAGAGCTGTTCACTTGTGCCCCCAGTTCTCACAAACAAGATGGAATGATAAAGAACTATATCACTGGATTATTTTAAGGGAACACCTGCCTTACACACAGTTATTCAGCTGGCAATTGTCAAAGTGGAAAAAGTAGGCACAGCAAAAGAAGTGATGAGTGGAGGAGGGTTAATTTCTCTCCAGTAGCTGGAGAGCCAGGAAACGAAAAAATGCGAAGGGCAGTATTGAACTGTCAGATCAGCACTTGCAATCTAGAGATTATGTTGCTAAAAAAGAGATCATGGCATCACTTCCCTTTAGTATGCCTGCTTTCTACCTTTTTCTGCTAATTTTTGACATCTTGATAACTGTGTGCAATTAAGACTGTACAAAGTCTCACCTTGCCATGTTCAACCTGTGCAATCAACTGCACTTGGCTCTCTTCAACACTTGAAACTTACAAACACATCAACCAGGCAAAATTATGTATATCTGACCATTTTAAACATACACAGAGACACCTCTGAAAGACTTTAGCAGGTTTACATAGGGGGTTTTGTCCCGTGTGAGAGATGTGGCAGAGGGGTTCAGGAATTTTGGAAGCTCGAAGAGAATGCACTATTTGGAAGGTAGCGGATTGTATTTATTACTCCCAAAAGTGTAACACTGGGACAACCTACAAACAAAGGAACTCCAAGTGGAAACGGTTTCCACTGAAGGTAACAAAAAATGTGTATCCTTATATTCACAAAGCAAGCTATAATTCACAGTGAGCAAAACAGGATGACAAAAACCTCTGGAAAATCATGAAAACATGATTTAAAATAGAATACAAAAAACTTACCCGCTTTTTGCACCAGGCGCAACCAGGACCAGACTGGATACATGCATTACATGTATTTACATTATATTTGGTACATTCAAGAGACCATGCTTAAAAAGGAGGAGGAATAAAAAAAAAACTATGTTAGGGAAGAGCAGTAACTCTCTATTTTAACACAGTAAACCATATTGGTCTGTAAGCAAAATTACAAAATACAGATAACAGCTGTATTTGGATAAATAATAACAGATTTAATGAGTTGGGACTTGAAAAAGACTTAAACCTTGTCAGCCTTTTTTGTTTCCTCCCCCTGGTTTTGGTAACATTTTTCCTGATTAAAAGACCAGGGAGTCTCAAAGGCCTGGCAACAGTTGTGAGATATTTCATTGGAAATCTATAGTGGATAAAGCTCAAACACAGTATAAATCAGTGTATAGTAGACTAAAGGAAAGGTCTGATATATACATGCAGCAGTGTAGCAGTAAAAGCGATCCTGATTAACTGGGCAGAAACAAGCTCATATGAGTGATTGTAATATAATATAATATATATAATATAATATTGTATATTATATTATATATACATTGTATATATAATAATTGTATATTGTAATTGTACAATATATTATATATTGTAATATAATAATATAATATTGATATTAATGTAATGATATGCGATTGCATGTGTTATGGTGAAGGATTTGTGCTGAGTTGCTTGGCTTCAGAATAATACAGTACTATAATAAACAAACAGCTATTTTATCTGATGATTTTGCTGTAACACTATTGCAACTCCTAGATGGTATCTCTTGCTTTTCAGTGGAGACAGCCAACATGCAGTCAACTCCTTACTCTGCAAATGTAAATATGGAAAGTATTCTTTGAAATCTTTATGTATTTGTTTTTAAGAACCTTTTGTTATAGCCAATAACATCTACTGACTGAATTTGTTTACATTAATTATATCTGTCATCATTCAACTGCCAGACTCTAATAGTTCTAATAGTATTAGGTGTGTCCAGAAAGTAATTAGAATGATATTTTAAAAACTCTTTTATTGAATTTTATTTTACAACTGAACATTGTCTCCCTCAAAGTATGCACCTTGTGAGTGTACACAGCATTTTTTCCATTCTTTATAGAATATAGCATCCCTGGAAGTCTTCAAGGGGGATGGCATTCAAAGCCTGTATAGTGGCTCTTTGGACATGATCCATACTACCAAAATGGTGTCCTTTCAAACCATTCTTCATCTTTGGGAAGATGAAAAATTTGCAAGGAGCCAAGTTGGGGCTGTAGCGTGGATGGGGAAGCACCGTGATGTGTTTTTCAGCCAAAAACTCTGTGACAGCCATAGTACTGAGACTCAGTTGTGATGAAGGATCCAAGTTGAGCTGATCTCAGCTTGTGGCATCAGTACACTTGTGCAGGTAACAAGTGGAGCAACTTCTCCATAAGCTTTCCTCCCCACCAGTTTCTGATGCACTTTCACCCAATTTCACACAATTTTATTGTGTGCCGCTGTTCCAAAATCACGTGCATTTTTCTTAATACGGGGCACTTGAACCGGTGTCACAAAAGAGAATGTCTTGACTCTGACAGGGCTGGAATGCAACTGATCGGTGTTCTAATGTATACCAGCCACATCACCCCATGGGACCTTGGCCCGCTTCTTTCTTCACAGGGCCTTTCTTGAGTGTAGGGACTTCATTCTCATTACTTTCTGGACCTTGTATATACACCTTGTATATACACCTTGTATATATTACTAAATGAACCATACATATAAAACAACAATTTAGAAATACGCATATTTGCATCAGTACTAAACATCCATCAAAAGAATGAACAAAAAGTAAACACAGAAATGGCATTTGGTTCATGACTCCTGGCTGTGCAGATCAGAGGAGTCCTACCCCAGCTAGTCTAGGGACTTTTGGAAACAAGCAGACAAGCTCCCAGAGAAAAAGCGGTCAAAGCAAGTAATAGGAGAGCTAATAGGAGTTTGGCAGCAGAGTTTGGTGAGGGAACTCAAGGGAGAGGTCCCTAACTTTTTTCGTTTTCTTTTTTCCCCTTAGTTTTCCCCTTGTAACACACTCCCATCTACTGTGTGGTTAAGACAGGAGAGAGCACTGGTTGTTACAAAAAGCCCAGCAGACTAGACTCAAAAGGGTAGCAGAAAGAACTGAGCTGAGAAAGCTCCCCGTGGTGGCGGCCTGCAATGTCTGTGCAATGCCTGAAGACAACATGGCTTATGTGTGCAGCAAGTGCAAGCTAGTAGTCCTGTTAGAAGAAAAGGTGAGAACGCTAGAGCAGCAAGTGTCCACCCTCAAGAGAATATAAGATAAAGAGTTTTTAGACAGAGCAGTGGAACTGCAACAGCTAAGTGTAGTACAGAACAGCAAGCTGAGGCAGGAGAATCCTGAGGTAAGGGAAAATGAGAAGGAAACTCCCTGGAGAAGGGTGACAGGTACAGAAAAACTAAACCAACACACACACACACACACACACACACACAGAGAGAGAGAGAGAGAGAGAGAGAGAGAGAGCGCAAAATAATAGCAAATAAATAAAATAAAATAATAAAATAGGATGTAAAACTAAACAGTTAAAATATATTAAAATCATCTTTAAAAGGTGAGTAAAAATTATGCATAATAAAAATCTGGCACTAAAATCAGAATTAGAGCATGGCAGCAGTGAAACACATAAACCATTGAAACCATTAAGCAATAAACCAAAGAGCTCATCCACCAAAATAATTATGAAGTAAGTTTTTAGCTGGTGCCTAAAAATATAGAGTTGGTGCCAATCAAATCTCAGATAGCAGTGAGTTCCAAAGTTGTGGCATTAGAATGTTCTCTATATCAGATGGCGAACTGTCCATTTTCAAGCTGAACTTGTCCATTTCTACCCTGAATGGATTCAGGGAAGAGTATCATGAGCAGTTTGTGGGAGGAAATACATAGGCAGCCTTGGACCTCCTTTGGCAAGGGACTTGATGCCCTTGCTTGCGCCTCTAATTTCTTGATCAAGATTTGTAGTTTACTGACTGCCTTAAAAAGCAGGTTGAAAGAGAATTCGGCCGGGAACATATCAGCCAGGTTATCCTGGTGGATTCACTTTTTCATTCAGAGTTCTTGTCTTATATGTGAGTTGCCTTACACACCAATATATATGGTTATTTTTCTGAAACATACTTCCTGGTTGCTTGCTTCAGACTAATTACTGTATATATTGGTGTATAAAATGACCCTTGAAACCAAAAATAGCCAAGCAAAAATTGGGTGGGGGGGGGGAGACAGCCCAAAATATTGACCTTGTCTTATACATGCGTCACCTAAATGGTAAGATTGTTGTTATCCTGCGAATATCCAGACAGTACAGCTGCATTACTTCCATACAAAAATGACTCACCTGTTGTAAAGAACAGCAAACCAGTTCCGAACAGCAAAAAAGATTTTTTGTTTAACATCTCTTCTGAAAGGTAAATAATACACAGTTAAGGAACTACATATAATAACTAGCTTTACGTGCAAAGGTATTCAAATCAAAGAAACTTTTGCATTCGTAGACACTGAGTTGCAAGGAGCCCCTGAAAGTTCATTCTAACAGACACCCAAGTCAGTAATATTGCTGGAAAAGGTACAGAGAAAGGCAACCAAAATGGGAATGAAGCAACTCTTTTGTGAGGAAAGGTTTCAACATCAAGGGCTTTTTAGATTAGAAAAAGGCAAAGTAAGGGAGTATGAAAGAGGTTATTAAAATTATGCATGATTTGGAGAAAGTGGATTGGGAGATGCTTTTCTCATGATGTTAGCTGAAATTATCCATTAAAGCTGAATGGTGAAGCTAATACAAAAATTATGAAATAATTTATAACATAGTACATCATTAAATTTTGGGATTCATTTCTATAAGGCAAAAGTATAAATATTACTTTAAATCCATATCCAGTACTCACGTCTTTTAACAATTACTCTAGAATGGTGCAGATCCCCCAGTACCTCTTTAAATGCTGCCCATCCCTCACATTAGGGTCACTCTGGATCAGATAGCCCTGTACCTTCTCTAGACTAAAAATGGTTGGGGAAAATATCTAATTGTTAAATATGGATGTAAAGTAATGTCTGTTTTGGTCCTTAGACAGCTTTAAAGGGGATTATTTATTTACTTATTTAAATTACTTTTAGATTGTATTTAAGGGAAGAACACTCTCATGGTGCCGTAAGATAAAAACCATACAAGGAGATACAATAAAATCCATAAATATTCTTAATAATAAAAATATAAATCCATAAAAATGCTACCAATACTAATGGACTTTATTAATAACACCAGACATACTGATATTATATAAAGATTAGACATATGGTTGCTAAGACCATCACTTGTTATATTAATATGGCTCCACTGGCTTGGGATCAGAGGCAGAATGTATACCCGTGGCTGGGATAAACAATGAGAGTGGACTTTCCTGTCTTGCTTTTGGGCTTTTCAAAGGCATCTTTTGGCCAGTGCAGGAAACAGGACTATGTCTTTGGTTGGACTTTGCATGGTTCATCTCATGGGATTTCTATTTTGTTTTTTAGAAGTACCTGTAGAAGTGCCTATGGGAATCCTCAACGGGAATATGAAAATAAGTGTCCTTAAGATCTACAGACATGAACCAAATGCCTTTGCGAAGTAGTGGGAGGATGGACTGGAGTGAGACCATTCTAAAACATTTAGATTTAATGTGGCAATTGATGGCCCTGAGATCAAGAATAGAATGAAGGTCTTGTCCTTAATAATTTTTCCCTTATTTTTCCTAGCAAGAAGAGGTTAAAGAGAGAATAGATCTGGAGAAGATAGGAGTCTGAAAAATAGCTGAGGGACAAACAACATTCACGTGGTAAGTGGGGGAAGAACTTCCTGAAGCGCTCATGATGGCAGTCGAAGAAGAACTTAAATCTCAGTGGGAGCCCTGCCCCTCACATTAGGTGGGGCTATGGCCCAGGCTCCCACCAAATACTAATTTATCAGCTTTGGGACTTCCCAAAACAGCTCCACACATGTATGCAGGGTCCACAGGTGTGATGCTCAGAGACCACAAAGAATAAGCTGAGTAACTCTTGGAGATTTTAGGGTGGCTCAATTAGAGGTCTGAAAAGCACAAAAAGAGCATGAGAAACCAGATATAAGGATGACAGCAAACATCACTGAGCCATAAAGTACCTTGCAGGGAAACAAACAAGAGAACAAGAAACTTGCCTGGTTTATGAGAAGAAATATCACAACTGTGACAAACTTAACCACTTATATCAAAACTGAGAAAACTCAAAGCCGGAAGGCACATTCTATTTATTTATTTAAAACATTTCTATGCCACCCCCATCACAACAAAGCCTCAGGGCGGCTCACAAAGGATACATAAATACATAAATAATAACAATATAACAATTAAAAAAAAACATTCTAGCAGGCCAAGACTCCACAACTTCCCTGACTGAAAAGTGGGCACATTGTGGGTGGGTTGTCTCCTCCCCTCTCTCCCCCATTGATCCTCTAACGGGTATACTATGTGACACCGTGGGAAGATCAACAAGTTCGCACACTCCATAGTTGCCATTTGGGCCCTGACTGTTTTCATTTTTTTCTTCTCTCAGTTGCTGTTCTCCTCTAGGCAGTCTTGAGCGGTCCCTCTACCAGCCCCCAGTATTACATGTGGTCTCCCCTTATTTTTTTTTAATCTTCCCCTCTTATTTTCCATAATTGCATTTTTTAAAAGTGCTGATCTTTTGCAACTAAGAAAGATTGCAATTATGAGGGAGTGGCAATTGGGAAAAGTTCAAGGAGATACCTGTTGGTAAAATCCACTCTTGGAGTCAGAAACATTTGACAGCTGCCAGAAGCCATCTGTCAACCATTTCAAAAGCCCAGAGATACCCTTTTTGCAAAATGGGCAGCTCAAGCTCCACTTCAGCAAGAGTTTTGGTGGGGAACTCTTATCTTCCCAGCATCCTCTATCACTTACACTGGCTACCAAATGAAGCCTGGGCCCAATTTAAGGTGCTGGTGTTGACCTATGAAGCCCTAAACGGCTTAGGTCCAGGATACCTGAAGGAGTGCCTTCTCCCCCATGTGCCCTCCCACCCCTTGAGATCTGAGTTGGAGACCCTCCTTCAAGAGCTGTCCTTGAAAGAGATCAGGAGGGTGACTACCTGGAGGGCCTTCTCTGCGGTGGGACCTCGACTGTGGAACACTCTCCCCAGAGAGGTTTGCCTGGCGCCAATGCTTCTTTCCTGTCAGCTCCAGGCAAAACCCTTTTTATTCTCCCAATATTTTAATTGTTCACCTGTTTTAATTGGTGGCTTTATATTTACATTGGTTGCTGTGCAACTGCTACTTGTATTTCTATTTTTATTCTAATTTAGTAATTTGTTGTAAACCATCCTGAGACGCTTGTGGACAGTATAGAAAAGTTTTAAATAAATAAATAAAACAAATCCTCCGACTCTTCTAAAACTTAAAGAAATCTGTTGGCCAAGGCTGATTGTTCTTAATTGTGGAAACCCTTAGTTTTAAAGTGGGATTTTTTAGAGCAAAGTTATAGGTAGTGGGGATTGGCGCTGGCATGTGCATCAGGAGTCATGCTGTGGTGTCAGTTTAATGATCTGATGCTTCAATACCAATGACTTATGTCCTGAGGTCTGGAGACTTCTCAGTGCTGAGAGTCCTGGTTGTCTTTGCAGGATGCCCGGGAGTCTCCTTGGGGATGGTGCAGTGACAGTGACCAGTTGAAGGCTTGGGGAGAATGGGATCTGTCCTGGTGTTTCTTAGTTCCTGACGGTGGTGTTGATCTTGGTGATGCATGGATGGATGGTCTTGGTGTGGAGCCAGCTCCAAAGGCAACAGTGGCTGGGACAGTGGCTGGGCTGCAGACCCTTATGGTGCTAATGTGGTATGGGACAGATCCTTTCTTGGTTCTGGGGACCATGAGCATTCCAAGGACAAGTCCAAGTGAACCCTCTGCATTGAGGTTCAACAGTGGTTCTTGTGGCACCTTCATTTTCCCTTGGCAGTGGTAGAAGCCATCTTCAGCTCAAACCACTCACCTCTTCCAGTGGCTTCATGTAAATGTTGCAAAGCATGGGGGATAAAATGGAACCCTGCAATACTCCATGACATACTTGCCATGGTGCAGAGCTACATTCCCCCAGCAACACCACATGGAATCAGTCAGCCAGGTAAGAGCATAACCACTGCAGAGCAGTACCCCTGACTCCCAACCTGGCCAGCCTATCCAGAAGGATTCCATAGTCGATGGTATTGAATGCCACTGAAAGGTCTAGGAGAACCAACAGGGATGCCTTCCCCCATCCTTCTCCAACAAAAGTCATCCCACAGGGTGACCGTGGCAGTTTTCATTCCATGACCAGGCCTAAATCCTGACTGAAATGGGTCCAGATACCACCCAGGTCACCTCCATTTTCCATAACGTGACTTGGGCTTCAACCAGAGCAATAAACGATTTATCTGGACAAATGGATGGGCTGAGTTGCTTTTTCATCTCCCTCAACCCCTCAACCGTTCAACTGAAGAACTAATACAAAGATGCTTCATTCCTTCCCTTTGTCCTCTTGTCTTCTGGAACAATTAGCTGAAACCAATAACTATTCAGAGGTAAATCATTTGAACTTCAATGGATCTTATTCGTGGGAAAGTAAGTATGGGAGAGGGCTGCATTTACTTGTTTTCTGGTGGCGGGCAGCGGGAGTGCTGGTCCTGCCCACCTCACCCCATAGGAGGACAGTGTGGTGTTCAGGCATATCTCTTCGAGATATTTGCTTCTGTGGGAAGATGCATCTATAAACCAGGAAGCCAAGAGTGGTAGGTGCAAACAGATACAATGTGTTCTTTAAACTAGTATGGTCTTGAATAGATATTGATCCTGTAGTTGGAGTGGAGGCTTCTTGGGTAAGACAACAAATTGACTACAAAGGATAGCCTTTTAAATTTTGAATCCACTTTTTTCTGCAAAGCCCAGGTAAGCTTCCAGTTGCTTTTACTTCTTGGATCCAGATGCATAACTACTTGCTTACATTTAGTGATACAGAGTGTCTGAAGAAAGAAAACTTGCACCGTTTAGCCATTCTTTGGAAGCAGAAGGACAGCTTATGTTTTATACATTTCCTCTTGTTGATGATAAATATGAAACTGCTCTTTCAGCACTGAGATATTTTTGTGCCTAAAGTGAATGCGGTAGCTAATCAAAATAAATTATGTTCATGTGAGCAGATGCTGAACTAGTCAACATTGTGATCTATTGCTGCTTTGAGAGACCTAATTGAATCCTGTGAGTTTAGAATGCTGGCTTATGAGATGAATGGAGACCAACTGGTTGAAAAAAAAACCCAAATATGCCTCATGTAAGAGAACTGCTTCTTTTCAAACCAGAACTTTCTTTGGAGAAAGCTATAACCACTGCAGCCCAGCTG